CACCGTTACTCGGACTGACTCGTTCTGCATGGTTTCTTACTAGAGTATAATAGGTATATTCTATGTGTTATACGGTATTCCCTGTGTAGGTTGTGGCAATAACATTACACCCACCCACACACCCAACCACAACCACGACTACCTGCGCTACTATATGCCACGCAACATCCACCCCGTCATTAGCTTCCCACGTGCGCTGTATCCTATCTTGCTCTACCCTAGCCCCAGCTGCCCACGGATCCTTCCGCTCTCAACGTTTGTTCTCCTACTACTTTGCAAGTCTGTGTGCGCCTCCTGGGGGGTGCGCCGTGTGTTCAGCGCAGCGGCGCGTTTAGGTGTTGGGTAGAGTTTGCTTGGCTTTGTTTTTGAATTTAGGGGTGGTGGTTGGATGTAAATACATGTATGTATATGTACATATGTGTGTGTGTGTGCAGTGGATTGTAGAAGCGTCATATGTCACCAAGGTAGGTATTCGTAGATCTCGCGGATACTCGGAATGGAATCGGGTAACTAAGTTACCATGGGTTATTTGCTAGCTTGTAGATATAAACAGGTGCTAGTAGTATGTAACATGTATAGTGTATGGTTCTGGTGTACTTGTCATCTTTATGATATGGCGGGGTTTGGAGCGCAGGGCGTTGGGGTGTACTTAGATGGCACATGAGGTCACTTGGAATAAATTCCATTTCACAATGACATGGTCAAAAGGTGAGAGAAACTCAGTTTCAATTCTCCTCTCGCCAGTCACATATTATGCGTATTAAAACTCCGCACTAAATCACCATGGTATCTTCCGTATCCCTTAAAACGCCATCATGAGCCCCAGATCGACCTAAAGCACATCTCACACGGTGGCCATGGACAGACTCAATCGTGACAAAACGTTGATTTTGAGTGTTTTTTTTTCAACACCATTCAAGCTCTCCCAGCCCCGGTGGTTCGCCACTCATCCTTCAACACCCATCGGCCCCTCTGCGCACTCCCACTCTTCTCCAACGTCGCAATAAGCTTCAGCATTTCCTTGAACTCTTCGTTGCGCCCTGGCTGAGCACGACAGTAGTGATCGAAGTGATCGACCAACATGCGACTCGGTACCACGCCTCCGTGCGTCATCATGAAGTCGCGAATCATCTCGAGCATGCGCTTTCCTCGAAACGACTGGGGAGTCATTGCCGAGGATGTAGACGCGTTGCTTGGCGGGTTCAGGCCGGGCAAGGGACGGCCTTGTCGTGCTGCAAGATTGGAAAGGATGGAAGTTGAGGAGGGGGCTCCGCCCCGGCCACCACCTCTTCCTCCTCCTCGGCCTCCTCGTGTGGAAGGTCGGGATGAGTCTGGGCGGCCTGCCTCTCCGTACTGGCCTGTCCATGTGGGTACGCCAGCAGGCACTTGTCGTGCTTGCTCCATGCTCTTCTTCAGCTCCTCAGCTGCAAGTGCAGCCTGACGCTTTGCCTCTCGTTGGATGAACGCTGGGTCGGCTTGTACTTTGCGCTTACGGCCACCGGCAGTTGAATTGACAATTGCATCGTGCGCGAGGACGGAATGGACACCAGTCTTTGCGAATATTGTAGACATCAGGCGAGAGTCTGTGGGCGCGTCTTTGTCACCCGCAGCACCGTCCTCTTTGTTGGCAGCAGTTTCTTCGTTCTCGGCCACGGGCTCTTGAAATGCTTCAGTCCGTGATATTCCTGTGACGGCAGCGAGGTCCGAGGCTCCAGTAGTTTCATTCGATGCAGTCTTGCCATCTTCTTCAAATTTGACTTCAGATCCACGAAACAGGGTGCCAGTCTCCGTCTCACCCTCAGTGTTCTCACCCAAGGTGAACAGGTCATGCAAATCGCTCATCTGGAACGTTTGTCGCTGCTTCGGGTCTTTCAACACCTTGTTTGTGAGGAACTGCTTGAAGATCTGGCGATGATAGATCTTCTCCTCGATGGTACCTGCAGACATAAGCCGGTATATCTCAACCTCTCGCTTCTGTCCGAGACGCCATGAGCGCTCTCGTGCCTGTATATCGGTCGATGGGTTCCAGTCGGGGTCGTAGATGATGACACGATTAGCGCCCGTGAGATTGACGCCTAAGCCTCCCACTTTCGTGGTCAGTAGAAAGACGTCCAAATCTGGGTTGTTGTTGAATTCATCCACGAGGTTTTGTCGCTCCTTGATCGGTGTTTCTCCGTCCATGCGACGCCAGTTTATGCCTGGCAGATGACTGACAAACTTTTGCAGTATGTCAAGCATGATGCGATGTTGTGCGAATAAGAGTGTCTTATGTCCACCCTTCTTCCAGAGGGACAGCAATTCCTTGACTACCTGCATCTTTCCTGATCGGTTGGGAGCACCGTAGTCGTAGCCCGGCTTCTTAGACAGTATTTTATGCTCCGTGAGATCTGGATGATTGCACACCTTCCGCAAGTAGTCCACACCAAACAGCATGTTTCGCTTGCCATCTGTAATGGACTTCATGTCGTTCGACGCAAGAAAGCCTTCATAAGCGGCCCGTTGTTGACGAGTAAGCTTACAGAAAAGTACTTGCTCCTTCTTCTGAGGTAGATCGGTTGCGACGTCGACTTTGAATCGCTGAAGCAGATATGGACTGACTGCATCCTTGAGAGTCTCTGCACACCGTACAGCTGTCTCAAACTCTAGATTTGAAGCATTGGCGTAGCCGCCGCGCTTGATTGGAAATTCAAATTGATTGCGAAAGTTCACCAGGGTACCGAGGCGCATTGGAAAGACAAAGTCAAATAGCGACCAGAGTTCAGTCAAGTTATTCTGCATGGGCGTGCCTGACAAGATGATGCGATTTGGTGTCCGCAATTCTTTGCAGTGGATCGTGATAGCTGTGTTGGGATTCCGAATCTTGTGACCTTCGTCCAAGATGGCGCATTCCCACTCGGTAGGTATTAAGAACTCCGAATAGGTTTGAAGACCAGAGTAAGTCGTCACGAGGACATGGCCATCACGTTTCACTTTTTCCAGAATTTTCTTCGCTGCTTTACCAGCGCCAGTAAGGGTCGTATCGTAATCACCGTAGCTTCGAAGCTCTAACTCTCGTTCCATACGATCCTCTCGTTGCGTATCCAGCATGCCACTTCCGGACGTGTGTAGGATTGAGACACGCAAGGCTGGCCACCAACGATGGAATTCGTTTACCCACTGCTTCATGACCGTTGCTGGACACACGACGATAACAGGTTTGGTAAGTAGCTTCGAGTAGTGCAGTCCGGCAACGAACGAGATAGCCTGTATGGTCTTGCCAAGCCCCATCTCGTCACCGATGATACCGCCCACGTTCTGCGAGTAGAGCTCCCAAAGCCATTGCACGCCTGTCTTCTGATAGTCAAAGAGGGCCGGATAGATGTCACCAGGTATCCGGAAACCGCCATCGAATACAGTGTCCGCCTCTGTAGGATGAGGTAGATATTGTTCTTCATCTTCCTCACCATCTGCATCATTTCCTGCAGTACTATCACTGTTCTTCGCTTTGGCTTTGTTTCTCGCAGCGGCACGATTCTTCGCCCACTTTTCTACACGGCTGCGAAATAATCGTTCATTGCCATCATCTACTCCAGCCATATCCTCTACAACAGCAGCTTCTTGAGCGGGTGCAGCTTTCGCTTTTTTGCCACGGCTTTTGCGTTTCCGTCCCGTGCTCTCTTCTGTATAGGAGTCATCTTGAGTTACGTTGTCCGATATTGCATCAGAGTCATCCAGTGTTGCAAGCTGCTTATCAGTCAAGCCAGAATCAAAGGCATCATCGGAGTCGCCATCAGCCTCTTCCGCAGGACTTGATTCACGGGACCCCATCACATCATTACTAGACGTCATCTTCCGTCTTTTACTTGGACGACTGGGTTCTTGTGGGCTCGCGATCTCTGGACTAGACTCGAAGTCTTGGAAGCCGGGCTTCATCAGATTGCGGTGGGACTTGGGGCCTTTCTCAGCCTCATCAACCATATCCTCCACTTCAGCGTCCAGCATCACCTCGCCCAGTGTTCCTGAGCCAGGCTGACTCTGTGCCAACTTGGAAAATGGCGTGATTTTGCCTGTTCGTATGAGGAATTCGCGACGGCTTTCATTTGGAAGTGGTCCGTTGGCACCATTTTCGGCCGCATCAATTTCTCCAGGAGCTTTGTGTCGGTCGTTTATGCGCTTCTGTATTGCATCCATTTCCAAGTCCAGTTCTTCAATCTTCAGGCGATAAGCCTCAATCTCGCCTCTGACCTTTGACTTCTGTGCTGATAACATGGGCAAAGCTAGCCGATTTCGCAATTTCTGGATTGCCGCTTCCGCCCGCTTTGCCTCTGCCTCTGCCTTTTCTATGCGCTTCTTGTCTCGCGCGTCAGCCTGCTCGGTGAGCAGCTGGTCCGCCTGGCGACCGATATCGCGCTCCAGGTCATCTTGCGCTCGAGTGCCAGTTGTCAAGAACTTAAGACGTGTCTCTTCATCTGCATCTAGTGGCAACTCCTCCCCAGAACCATCCTCTAGTATAGTGTCGGTCGGCTTTGCTTCACTCGAGGCTTCAGCGTCGATGACATTTATCGCAGGCGGCGCGATCGATGTGACGGTGTCTTCGGACAGTGGAGACATATCGGTATAATGGAAACCTCGAGCTTAGCCGAGACGTTCCAGTCTAGATTGTATACGGTTACGAAAGTTATGGGACAAGTATAGCGAGGGTGAAGCAGGGTAGCACAAGTTGCGCCGAAGGCAACAGCGCTGGCCGTCGCGTGAGGGCGCCTTGAATAAGGCGGAAAAGGCTAAACGGGGAAAGGAGAGTCTTGAGGGCGACTAAGGGTAAGCAAACGGGGGAGGAGAGCTTCCTGCTTGTGGCATTCGATGCAGGCGACAAAGTTTCTCATGGTTGATGGTTTCTCCCAGTTGGCCATCGCCAGAATGATATCACTAGGTACCGAGTCAATGGGCTAGTCCTGCGCTGCCTAAGCGCGGCTAGCTTCCGCGCAGCTGCACCTGCCCTACACAGTATGCAAGCCAAGTAGGTACAACGTTCGGCAGCTTCATGTTGTTACTTGTCCTATTCTAGATTGACTGGCGAATGGCGAGTGACGAGCGTTTGGATGACGGCGGGCATTGTTATCAAAAAGCTTCGGTCTCTTTGAAAGACTGGGAATTAGAGCATGTACTGTGTATGTATATGTGGCAAAGCCCATGACCACCGGCCAATCACGCCTTGTGCTGTACGAAAGTCTAATTCACTTCTTTTGCATCTTCTCGACAATTACGTACGATCATGGCAGGCACGGTGGAATGATTCTTCGTGATGAAACATCGGCTTGCTGGTTTCAGTCCCTCTTTGACATGCCTGCCCTTGTCCTGTATCCTGTACCCGTATGGCATGACATGTTCGCGAGCAGACAGCAGTCGCCTTGCACAGCCACAGTGGTAAAATGGTGCGCCACAGTTGTAAAAGACACGAGCACGCGGTACTGCTCAAGTGTACGATTGGATGTTCCTGGCGCTTCAGGAATCATTCCTAGTGTGGTGGCATGTCATATGACCATGGGTTTAGCGTCGGGCGACTTGGGCTTTACTCCGAGTGGTTAGAATATCCCTGTAGGTTCAAGTCCACGTCACAGCGGCAAATTTTTATAGTTATATAAACTAGCCTATAGTTAAGTATAAATTAGGGTAATTTAAGCAAGTAAACGTAGTTTTTATTACTATCTTTTTTAAATATATTCTAAACCTATTCTTAATAATATATAGGCGTTCCTAAATACTATACTAGAGTTTAGTATAGTAGTACTAGATAATATATCTAAACTAGATAGTAATATTAGAGATAAATTTAGGTAACTATATAAAGTGCTAGAGGAGGATAGTAGTAGTAGTGTTAAGGAAGTAAGTAAAAGTAAATAGAACAAGTTTAGAATAAGTTAGTAATATATTATAGGGGCATAATATATACCTTACTTATAGTAATAGTTAAGGACTACTACTTACACTAGTAATTATTAAGTATATAGCTATTCTCCTAGTATACCCTTAATTATATAGCTAAGAGTATAGGTATATAATACTAGTTTAGTAATATAAAGATAGCTCTTACCTAATAAGAGAAGAGGTGCTTATACAGGCTATATAGGTAATATATTAAGAACATGTTCTTAAATTATTCTAATTCTAGTAGGTATAATACTCCTGCTAGTCTATCTATCTTAATAGGCCTACAACTTTACTATTCTTTAATAGCTAGCTAGCAAGCTAGTATAAATACTAATACTCTAGGGTAAAAGCGTGTAAGTATCTTAAGAATATATTATAAATATATTCTTATTATATTATTAATAATATATTATATAATTAGATTTAAACCTTAAAAAGTATAGTACCTAAGAAAATTCTATAAAGAGAACTATAAATAAGAAGCTATTATTATAGCCTTATTAAGCGCTTCTCTTTAAGGATTTATAAGGACTACTAGGTATCTTATTATCCTATAATAAGGACTATAGTAAATTAGGTAGGGAGCAAAACTTAAATATATTTAAAATATATTAATAACAAGTTAGTAAATTATAGAATAGGCTTAACTATATATTAGCTATTAGAACTATAGCCTAATATCTGCTACTAAGAAAAAACATTATTTTAGTTAGGTACTACTAGAGGTAGACTCTATATATCTATAAGGTCTTCTAACTAGGGAGATATTAAATCTTTCTAGTAGTCCTGCTTTATATTCTATAGTTAAGCTATAGTTAAGCTAGATAAAGAAGTGTAGTAGGTATATTGTAACCTATTCCTAATATATTCCTAATATATTCTAGGCGTTAATTATCTATAAGGGTAAGGATCTCTATTTAAAATCCTATATAAAGTTACCTTCTAAGTAATTATACTAATAGATATAGTAGTAATACCTTTTTTTACTATTATTTCTTTTAGTATATATATATATATACCTCCTCCTCCCTTAATACTATCTAATAGTAATATTAAGGAAGTAGTAAAGGTATTATAGCCTATGCTTACTCTATAGCTTATATAATATAAGTTATTTATAACCTATTATAAATATATTCCTAACTTATTATAGCCTAGTTCCTAAACTTAACCTAGCTCTAAACCTATCTCTAACTTAAAGGTTTCTATTCTATTAAAGAAATATATATTAGCTTTATAAATAAAGATAAAATCTTACGTATTATAAAGCGTAAAAAGCTTCTATAGTTCCTATTTAAGAGTAGCCTTAGAGGAGTACACTATAAGTAGAGGATAAAGTATTAGGATCCTAAAACTATATATAGTATAAGAGAATAGGTTTAGAATATATTACTAATATATTACTATAGGCGTATATATAGCAAATCTTTATATTAAGCTTAGGTAACTTAATTATTTACCTTTTTAAAGAGTAGGTATTAATTCTATTAGATTAAGATATATTCTAGATAGATATATTATATAAGAGGTTATATAGGGTATAGGTAGAGATTCTAATAGTAATCTTCTACCTATAGGAAAAGAAGCGTACGCATTAAGAATAGGTTTATAATATATTTCTAATATATTATAGTTATTATACTTAGCTAAATTATTATAGATAAGGATATAACTAAGATATATTAAGTTACTATTACTAACTTCTTTTAGAAGTATAAAGCACTTATAAAAAGACAAGTGTTATAGAGGTATATTTACTTATAGGGATTCTATAGGACTACTATTAATATATATAATAAGTAGATAATAGGCAAGTTTTATAGCGCACTATAATCTGTTTATAACATGTTTCTAACTTGTTTCTAGGACTTAGGCGCTATCTCTAGTTAATTAATCCCTATAAGCGTAACTAGCGCTAGTAACTTTAATCTTATATAAGATTTTATTAAGTATATCTATAAAGAAGTATTTATAAAGTATATAAAAGAGAGCTAGATAATACTACCTCTTTATATCTAAGTAAATTACTACAGGTATTAATAGTAGAGGAATACTTTTAGCTTACTAACCTCCTCTTACGTAAGTAAATATATTCTAAACCTATTCTAAACGTGTTCCTAACTTGTTCTTATATAATTAGAACACGAACCCTCTAAAGATACCTAAAACTAGGTAATCTATAAGAAAAACCTAGTAATTGCTACTAGGATTGTGTAATACTATAGTAAAATATTAAAAGAGGTATAGGAAAAACTAGAATCTTATTTAAATATAGCTAAGCAAGCAGGCTAGAAAGGATATAAAACTAGTAAGTATGTAAGTATTCTTAAGGCTACTTAGAAGTAAGTTTACAACCTATTCTTAACCTGTTAGAATTGTATAAGTAATATTATATAGTGCACACTAGATAAATCTATAGGATATAAAAGAGTTTAAAGCCTAGAGCAAGTTTAGAATACGCTATAACTATAGAACTCCTAATAGGCTTAAGCAAAGGTACCTTAAAAAGCTTTAGAGGGGAGAAAGTAAGTCTTACGCTAGCGTTATACATATTTACTAATTAAAACATGTTTAGAATATATTTAGAATATATCCTATAATAATAATAACACTCTAGATAATAATAAAGTAAGTCTTACTATATCTAACTTAACTAGATATATCTTAGTCCTAATAAGAAATAAAAGAGCACGCTTAAAAGCCTAAAGCTAGAGGGCAAGTAGTAGAGCGGTATTAGAAAGAAGTTCACTAGCCTATTTTCTATCTTCTCTACTACTAGGCTCTTCTCCTCTACTAATAGTAACCTAAAGGTATGCTTTGCAAAACACGTTTATAACACGTTCCTAACTTGTTATTAGTCTATAACTATAAACTTTACAACAAAAGGCTCTTCTTAGTAATTAGGCTCTAAAGAAGAGAAAAGAAAAGCTAGAGGTAGATAAGGAAGAACTTATATAGAAAAAGGCACTATTTAAATTATAAAAGGTACAGTTTAAACTTAAGAAAGAGATAGCTACTTTTTATATAAGGTAGGGTTAGTCTATAAATATAGTAACTAGTTCCTAACTAGTTCTTAATATATTCTAGTCTATTATATAAGTATATATAAGTAGATAAATATATATTCTTTCTTCTTCTCTTTCTTCTTCTTTCTTCTTACACTCTATAAGAACTTTTTATATTTAAGAGTTTAATACTATTTTACTATCTATCTTTCCTAATATTATTAGATATAACTAGTTAATATAGTCTATAAAGATCTTTTAAAGTTAGTATATAATAGAACGCGTTAGGAACACGTTATAAACTTGTTCTAACACTAAGTAGGATTTATACTAGTAATATATTAAGCTTAAGTTACTTCTATTAGATACTAGGGTATTCTCTTCTATAATATCCTACCTAAATAATAGGTATATAGTATTTCCTAGCAAGCTTTTCTACTAGGCTATTTAGGCTAGATTAGGGGTATAGGAACTTTGTAGAGTATATATATATATAAGTTAGAACACGTTTATAATATATTAATAACTATTTTAGCATTACTTCTCTAATAGAGGTAATCTTATCTACTACTTTAAGAGGTATTATCTTAAGGTTTAAATAGCCCTAGTAAACTATAGTAGAATTATAATACAAGGTATTATAGAAGTAAGGATCTTTTATAGAAGCTTAATAGTAAATACTTAAGAATATATTCTAAACACGTTAATAATACATTCTCTGCTAGTAGAGTAGACTATACTAAGTGCCTCCTCTAAGGTTTAAGAACCCTCTAAGATAGCTAGTCTATAATAAGAAGTAGTAGCTAGAGTAGAGGCTAAAGAGGAAGTAGAGAGTAAAGAAGAGGAGTAAATAGTTACTCCCCTTTATACTATAAATAATATTTAGTAAAAGTAGTAAAAAGGAGATATAAGTCTAGTCTCTTAAAATATATTTAGAATATATTAATAATATATTATAGCTAGACACCTATAAATACTAGATTCTTCTTTAATCTAAGGGACTACTAGAGCTTTATAATACCTATAAAAGTAAAAAGAAAAAGTTATATAGTATTAAAGGACCCTATAAAAGTAAATAGTACTTTACTTTTAGTAGATAGAAAAAAAAAGAGAAGAGTAGAGAGTTTATTTTAGTAATTACTACTACCCCTTTAGGTTATATACTATTATATATTATTTATTAGAACCTATTCTTAATATATTCTTAATATATTCTTACTTGTTACTATTATTATCTCCCTCCCCCTCTCTAGTATCTTCTCTATCCTCCCTATCCTCCCTAGGCTCTATAAAAGTATACTATAAGTAGAACTAGGTAGTATTCTAGCAGGAATTAGTAAGGTCTATACTAGTATTAAAGTAATAGTCTTAAAATATATTAGGAATAGGTTAATAATATATTATAAATAACTTACTATAGCTAGGATAATTATAAGTATAGATAGTATAAGGAACCTAATAACCTTAAATCCTTAGTAGGGTAGATATAGTAATAAGGTTAAGCTATAATAAGTTAGTAATATATTTTTAATAGGTTCTTATAGGCTATACCTTATTACTATTATAGCTAGTGCAAGTCTTCTTCTAAATTATATTTAGGAGGGTATTAGTATTTATAGGGGGGCCTATAGTAGCTACTAGCTAGGCTTAAAGAACTTCTATAAAATATATTAGTAATAAGTTTTAAATATATTCTAAATAACTTATAGTAAGGAGTATTCTAGTAATTATATATAACCTTTATATAGAAGTCTATATATATTAGTATAATAAGTTAAGAATAGGTTAATAATATATTTACTCTTTACCTTATAAACCTTTATTATAGAGGGCTAGCTAGTCTTCTTAACCTTACTAACTTTATAGTAGGCTATATTAAGCCTATAATCTTTTTTAGTATAGGTATATAAAGTGCCTCTAGTACCTAGAATAGCCTAAGAATATTAGAACCTATTTAGAATATATTTAGAACCTATTCTTACTTTATATAAGGTACCCTTATTATTAATCTTAGTATAGTAGTAGCGCTCTCTACTCTTTATCTTAACTACCCTATTAGGGCTAACTATAGGCTATACCCTAATATTATCTAGGATATAGCTAAGGGTAAGGTACTATTAATAGTACTTCTATAACCTATTAAGAATATATTCTAAACATGTTTTAATCTACTTATATAGGATATAAGGGATATATTAGTAATAGGTATAGTAGTAGTAGCTTATAGTATTACTAGTATAGAATATATTTAGAATAGGTTTAGAACGTGTTATAAAATCTTATAGTATAATATTTAGTTAACCTTACTTAGCTAGCTAGTAGAGCTTGGTATAGCCTAACCCTATGCTAAATACGAGTTCACGTAGCGCTAATTCCATGGTCATATGAACTGCGCCCTCCTCTAGAGTACACGCACAGCCGCCTTGTTGGAGGAGCTAGGCTGCTCTTAGGGACCATGTACTTATGTGTGTGTACTCTAGAGAATGCGAATCATCCCACAATCGAAGCAGACGGAGCGCAGTGACAAAGTCCCAGCGGCACCATCGGCATAGGGTGGGCCCAGAGTGACATGATGAACAGGTGCCCGGCTGGGCTGGGGGAGATGCTATCCCTACTCTAGGCTCTGCTGGCTCTTCTATGTACTCCTAGAGTAAGTAGTAGGGAGTAGAGTAGTAGTCTGGTGGTGGGATGACTGATCGGAAAGACGCAAGCCGGTGCCGAAGAAATCTCGCCATGTGTGCGCGTTGAAAGGTTCCTGCTGTGCTAGGAAGGCGGTGAGACGAGACGAGGACCCTTGGTTAAGCCCAATTGGGTGGCGACACAGGCGGGAGACGCTGCAAGGTGCAAGGCACTCCGACCACGGCCAATCACCCGCCAATGCGCTAGTCGCGATGGAGCCATTGTACTGGGGAGGCGAAAGGGTTGCGAATGCAGATCAGGGCTTCCTTCCCAATCTCCAATTTAATCCGCCTCCTTTGCATCCTCTTTCTCTCCCTCCCACTCTCCCACTCTCTATCGCCCTCTCCACCTTCTCCAACGGCGGCTGCGACACCCCTTCAGCAGTCCTTCCCTTCACCTCTCTCCATCCCCGGTCGCCGCTTGCACACTTCGCTCTTTTTCTTATCGCCCGCAAGCATCATGTACGTCCCCAAATACCCTGCGCCCGAACAACAGGCCACCACAACACAAAATGGATCCGTAACTAACAATCACCATAGGAACGCGACCTCGGTTCTGACGCCAATGGCGCAGGACACGTACTGGGGCTCCTTTGAGGAAATCTCCAAATACAATGTGCAACTCAACTACTTTGAGAAGATGTGGCTTGCCTGGTACACGTGGATGGGTAACGATGTTTTGGCGACTGGCATCATGTCATTTGCCATCCACGAAGTCTTCTATTTCGGCCGATCGCTTCCCTGGATCATCATTGACTGCATCCCATACTTCAGGAAGTACAAGATTCAGCAGGTATGTCATTTCGACCATGCGCGACCTCGATCATGCTCTGACAGTCTTCTGTAGCACAAAATTCCCACTGCTTGGGAACAAACACAATGCGCGGCCCTAGTCCTTCTCTCCCATTTCACCGTCGAACTTCCCCAGATCTGGCTCTTCCACCCTATGTGCCAGTACTTCGGTCTCAAGACCTCCGTTCCCTTCCCTACCCCCATCACCATGGCCTACCAAATCGCCATTTTCTTTGTCCTCGAGGACGCATGGCATTACTGGGCGCATCGCCTGATGCACGCCAGTTCTTTCCTCTACAAGAACGTTCACAAGATCCACCACCAGTACTCTGCTCCTTTCGGTCTTGCCGCCGAGTACGCTTCGCCCATCGAGGTCATGGTTCTTGGTTTCGGTTCGGTCGGTGTCCCGATCCTATGGTGTGCCATCACCAAGGATCTCCACATTCTGACAATGTACACTTGGATCGTTTTCCGTCTCTTCCAGGCCATTGATGCCCACAGTGGCTACGAATTCCCTTGGAGCTTGCACCACTTCTTGCCTTTCTGGGCTGGCGCCGAGCACCACGATGTTCACCACGAAAAGTTCATTGGAAACTATGCCAGCAGCTTCAGATGGTGGGACTTTGTTCTTGACACCGAGGCCGGTGCTGAGGCGTCCAAGAAGAGGAGAGAGCGCAAGCTCGCAAAGGCCAGAAAGGCCCAGTAAATCAGTTGACCTGCACATGGGAGGACGCAATCGTAGTTGTTTTAATGTGCATGACGTACGAGCTGAAGGGTCGGATGGTTTTAGCCATCGTAGGCCAAATTATGTCTTGAGCTTGGACTCGAAAAGTCGAGCTTGATTTGGCGTTTGGGTAGAGGCGCACCGGCCGCATCGCCTTTGGGCGACATTCTGAATTATAGGCTATTGGTAATGGCAGACAGAGACGATGGTGTAAATAGTGGGATCCTTTAGAATATCAATACCTAATGTGTATCATGTTCGTTGCCTCAACCTGATTCCAATGCTGTATGTGTGTGCGACGTTTCAATTTAAGCCTGCAATCGGTCAGCCAGCTTGGAAAGCACATGAATTCAAAAGCCATCACTTCAGCCTGCAAGGTTTTTTGCTACATCAAAGGGCGACAATAGGAAAGGTGGCAGTGCGTTGGTTGCCAAAGCTGGTCTTGGCATTGCGGCAAAGGGTGAATCGATTTTCCGGTGCGACTGACCATCTCGAGCTTTCCCCCAACGTTCTTTGATCTATTCAGGAAGCGCGCAACCATCCACGCGTGTCTCACCTTATTATCACTACAATGAGTTCCGCCGCGCGATCTTCCAACGTCCACCAGGATTATATTGCGAGAATTAGATACTCGAACGCGCTTCCTCCACCACCATGCCCTCCGAAGCTGCTTGATATACCCAATACTGGCCTGTCCAGTGGACAGTATACGTCGGCTAGCTTTGCGTCGCGGCTGGCACGAGAGCAACCATTGAATATTGAGGCAGATGCAGAACTGGGTATGCCCATCGATTTGGTGGGTATCCCAAAGGTCTTCGATGGCGACGAGTCGGGTAAAGAGAGCATTGATTCGTGCCTTTGGTTCAAGAATTGACGCGTCGTACAGCTATACAGGCGATGCCACATCCCCCACCACTAAGCGCTGCGGATAGAGCACTGATGCGACCGCCGAATGCCCTGGGTAAATCAAACACCACTGCGACAGGCATTACGTTCTTGCGCCGAACCGAATATGTCACATCAACCACGACAGGAGGATCAAAGTTCGAATCAAGTAACTCGTCAAACACAATGCGCCTACGACGGAAACGGAAAGTAGCCGAGGCGAGCCACGACGATCCGATCAACATCGCCAGGCACATCCTGAAGGGCTTCAACATCGCTTACCCAGCAGATGCATACAATGGACAGGACAGCGCAGAGAACTTGCGGGCCGCAGAGTCGACATCCGAGGAGCGATTGGCGTGGAATAAGCCTACGCACCCAAAGGGTCACTTAAAGCTCCTCGACGCTTACCCTCTACTCCCAGATTGGGATGCCACACCAGACACGGGTTCATACATGCTCTTCAAGTTCCTGGCGCCGCCCGTCAACAACCCAAGCGACCGCTCCTACGACCCACGCCTTGACGTCGCGATTGTCCGCCCCGCGGGTCAGACAATCGAAGACCACGAGATCTACCTTCAAAACTACGAAGAGCATAGAAAAGATCCCGCCGTGCCCACGCCTATCCCACGCTACCAGTTCGAATACTTTCTTCCACCAAACCGAGAAAAGGTGGCGGGCATCAAACGCAACTTCACCACAAACGACCCCGACAACGACGCCGAGATCGACTTTGACATTGCAGAAGACGATGAAGGCCAACCCCGCAAGTGCTTCAAGTACGAAAACATACGCACGTACGAGACATATGCCCAGACCGGCGATCCTCACGATACCTATGGCGATGCAGTTGCCATGGCGCTGCACGACCCAGAGAAGCATGAGAGCGAGCGCCTACGCAATACGAGTCTGCAGAAGGCAGCCTACTTTTACCCCATCATTCAGAAGACACACATTAGGCCGCGCCGACCGGGCAGGCCGAACCTTACCGAGGAACAGCAAAAAGTCGATGTCATCGAGGCCGCGGGTAGGGAGCCCGGAAACGAGGCGGAGAGGCGTGAAGCGTTTAGAAAGCGGGCTGAAGGCATTGTTGAGCCTCAAGCTCCTCAGCGACAGGATACTGATGCACATGAGGAAGCTTGAAGATGGCGCCAGTGCAGGTAGTGGTTTTGAGCTTTCTTCGGCTCTAAACCTGAAAAGCTCATTTGTTCACTCATCAGCGTCGGCGTTTTGTGTGGAGAGAATTTGTAGATGCTTTAGAACGGATCAGAGTGCGGTCTCTATGGTGGTCCTGGCGAAGAGCGCTATCTATATCAGATCAATTTCGGGCAACATCAATTCGATTGATAACCATTTGGCACCAGTTTCACCACAAGTCCTTTTTTTTGAGCGACAAGATTTACGAGCAAGGCGGTCTGCGACGAGGCGAGTCAATTATTCGAAATCCTGCTAGGGTCTTCTCGAAATGTTAAGCCCTGTGGATCAGCCAGGCTACGGGTTTGGTTGCTTGTCTCATTACAAGCTATCTAAATTTGACCTCCGATACATCATTCATCTCTCCATAAATCGCCAGAGATGCCCTCCGAAATAAACCTCTCAAAGTGCTGAATAACACCCACAGGACCCCACCCCACCAGACCCGCTTTCCTCCAGCAACACACCCAGAAAAACCCTCACGTAACTTTCACATCGCACTTGAGCCCCCAGAACCTCCCCCGCACAATCGCCCCCGCCAACTCCCCAGCCCTCTTTTCCATCCTCCCTACCTCCCCCTCCACCACCATCTGCGTCACGCCCCCGTAATCAAAGAACTTGCCAGCCCAGACCTCCGCCCACTTGGCATTGCAATACGCATCCGCCGCCGTGACTTGCAGATGCCAGACGCCGTCGTACCCGATGAGGAAGCCGGCGACGCGTTCGAAGCGGTAGGCTTTTAGTGTGGTGTGGTGTTCGTATGTGCCGACCTGGATGATGGGGCTGTTGGTATGGTGAAAATATGATGCTACTGGGCTGGGCTGGGCTGGGCTGGGTGTAATACTGGGAGAAGAAGATGGTGAAGGGGGAGGGGATAACAACGTACAAAGACTTCGAGGCCCTTGCGCCAAATAAGAAGCTGTATGTCTTTTTTGCCAAAGATGGCTTTGAAGGTGTGTGTTGTTGGGCTCATGAAGGACTGCAGTATTGCGGGAGATACGTGGAAGAGCGTGGTGACGAGTGCGTCTTGGAGTTTGGGGTTGTCGTCTTGGGTGCTGGACGCGTTGGTTTCGGGTAGATGGAGGATGTGGGCGTGGTTGGTGGGGCCGGTGGCAGGGAGGGTGTTGTAGTCGTTTGTGTAGGAGAGCTGGCTGGTGTCGCTCTTGGTGGAAGGTGAAGTGTCGCGCGTTTTGATGTCCATTGTGTGGGATAGAGGAGTGTGAGTGGGTTGGAGTTTGAGAAATTATGATAGGTATGAGTTGTTTTGGATACACTATATATAACAGTGCTGATGCTGGGCGAAGAGCGATGAGCTGAAGCGTGATGTGGTGAATGTGAAGATAGAGTGCTGGGGATGAAAGTGATCTGAGCCCATATACCACTGGGCTGCATATGTCAACAGATGTAGCACCAAGCCTTGTGCGGACCGTCGATTTGTATGTGTCAGAGTATCATGGTTAGAAGATTTCGGACGGTAGATATTGGGATATACACTGTCCGCGACGTCTGGTTCGGACGGAAAGAGCCAGTGCTAAAGATCGAAGTGGAGTTCCACCAGCCGGATAAAAGCATGCTGCGAGTGCAATTGAGTCTATTTGAAGTAAGTCAGATCATCAGATCATTCGCACAATCTATAGCTTCTACTATATTAATAGAGTACTAGTGAATTTGTTGTACATGAATTTGAACTGGAACGATAATATGATAGTAGTTTATAAAGAACGAACGTCGAGTGAGCCTCCTCGTCTTCAGAGGATCCTGCTTTGGTCGCTTGATGAATATGTGCATACGTCTGGAGCAATGACATGGTAAGTGAGTCTTACAGACAGGAGACGGCCACTGTATCGTATAAGATAACAAATCCTAAGATGAAAATCTATTGAAATAAGCATTTAGACGGCATTTTATTGAGTCACTTCTACGGTGTGAGAGGGAAAGACTACAAGAGACGCCTTTACCCGTTATCCATCGTCCTACGCAGCATAAGAACCTCGTGCTTAGTGACAAAGATACTATCAATAGTCGTAGCAGTATCAAGCCGAGGTTCCTGCCAAAGATTGTCAAGTGTATCAACAAGGTCTCGTATCTTCGCACTCTCCCATTCCCCTTTGTCTGTTGTCCAAAACACCCGTCGGATACCAACAGATGCCATGTATGACACACATCTGTAGCATGGACGCGACGTGAGAAGTGGAGGTACTGCAGCTTTCGAAGATACTGAGCACGGCGCACGCTTTGACTGCGTCACTTCTGGATTGGCGAGTTCTTCGTGGAGAGACCCAGTACTGGGTCTTAGAGGCAGCATGTCTGCTACTTCCCTCGAGTGGATGCAGCATACTTCAGAGCCATCAGTCACGGGGAATCCCTTTCGCCCAAGCCTCACCACGTATATGTCCGCTCCATTGAGACGTGCACTTCTTTTTCGGTCCCTCACAGCGCGACTAGCCTGCCCAGACTGACCCTTTGGCACAAGTAATGGTTGGCTATTTGGTATGACTGCGGCCTGAAAAAGGCTCTAGTAATATTAGTTCGTGTAAATTTCTTGGTTGCCAGAACTTGCCTTCTGTTTTGAAGATGCTTTTTGGTAGCCTGATGCACCTGCGTGGCCGTTGGATCCAGCTTGGCGTAGATCAACTTCGCAAAAATCATCCTCATAAGACGTAATGGTTTTCATAGCATCCAGGCTTTGCTTATGTGAAGATGGTTTGTGCTGTTCGTGATGGCCAGTGTTGTAGTTGTTGCCGATGTTGTGATGTTGCTTCTCTTTGTCTTTCTTCTTCTTCTGTAACACTGTACTCCTTTCTGCAGGCAAGCCCACGTCCTCCTTGCACTCCTTTTCCAGAGCTGCAAGATTCGGTAAGTTTCGATTTAGATGCACCTTGTTCAAATCGCCGCTGTTGAACTTCTGACTGGGCGCGGCATGACTTCGCGCCGTACTGGACAAGTGCGGCCTTGCACACAATTTCAACGTAAGACTTGATGGCGTCCCGTCGTAAGCGAGCCTTTTGTTTAGAACCACCTGGTAATTTGAAGTACGGTTTTTCAGAAGACACCGCGCTGGAGACCAGAGCGCTGGAAGCTGTGAGAGCAGAGTGGATCGCCATCATCTCAGCGTGCATAGAAAGAGGCGTGTTAACAAGTTTACCACCGCCGTTGATCTGCTCAAAAAGCATAAAACTAGTCTCAGCTATGCTCTCCGCGTCCGGCTTCTGCTTCGATTCGTGCTTCTTCAGTTTATTCATTGTGGCGGCACTGGAGGCCCGCAATGGAAGCCGACCTGTCTTCAAAGCACCACCATCAAAGCCAGAACGATAGTCATTATAGCCTTGACCAATAACTTTACCGCCACGAACAACAATAGCGCCATGGCGATAGCGAAGGGGCGAATTTGCCGCCTGCTCGATGCAAAGATTCAAATAGTTATCGGTCTTCATCTTGATGGATCGAGTGGTTGATTCGCTGGGTCGCAGGACTTCAATAGCACGTTTTCGAGTGGATGGATAATATTTAGCTGGTGTAACCTGGGTGTTGTAGAACCTCTGTTGCGTATCAAGTAGAGGAACCTTGAAAGGTGTGCAAGTGTGTCTTGACGTGTGTCACGGGAGACAAATGCTGGCGCCTTGGCACAAACAAGTGGGAAACTTCTCTGAACCCTCCATCTCAGTCACACTACCACAAGCTACACCAGCGTTCTGGGGTTCTACAGACTGCATTTTGAATTTATGCTGCATTGATAACCACATAATGATTACTGGAGTGGAGTATAAATCCATAGCATCCCCCTGCCTTCCCCGGATTGGCTGTTCACGATGACCGTTGCCTACTCGGCCCAAACAACAGCACTTACACCATCCGCTTGGTCGAAGGTGCCGACTGGTCCAACCCGCAAGTCAGCTACGAGCTTGCCTAGCTTTCCAGTTCTTGGATCCCTTGCGACGATGGCCACGTTCGCAGTTGTCTGATCACCAATCGCAACATAGTCGCCGGCTTTGTTGATATCAAATGTACGAGGAAACGTGCCATACGAAGACGTCGTCTCTGTCCAGGTCAGGCTGCCATCAGGAGCAATAGTGTATTGTGTCATCGAATCGTTCGGCGCGAACTTCTGGTCGTTACGGTTCGACGTGTATAAGAAATTGCCCTTTGTCCTAATCTCTGCGAGCTTGGTTCCTGTGGGTGCAGTGGCATTACCCTCATAGGGCGTTACAGTCTGCTTCCGCTCCATGGTCAAGCACCCTTCTCCGGACGGGTACGTCACACTCCATCTCGAGACAGTGTTTGTCAATTCATCCACTACGAAGAGTGTGGTGTCCTTGGCTTCTCGCATATGTCTACTACTTTTTGGGGTCCAGAATGCGACATGCCTTGGACCGGTACCTGGCAGAGATGCTACGGTAGGACAGACCGAAAGCAGACCGGTCTTTTGGTTGATCTTGAAGATGCGCAGCATATCTGCACCTAGATCTGGAATGATAATCCAGTCTCCTGTGGGATCCACAACAGCATGGTGCGGGTGTGGCGCCTCCTGGCGACTTGGGTTCGGGCCCGGACCCCTCATAAAGAACTCCACAGTCTGAAGTGGCTCACTGCCGTTGAGCGGTAACTTGAATGTCGACAGTTGGGAAGATTGGCTTCGAGGGGGTCAGTGGAAATATCATTGGAACAACAGGGTCTTCGTACTAATGAGCGGTTACAATGAAGCTCCTTCCATTGGGACCACCGTACAGTGCTGTCGCAACTCCTCCCAATGGCGCGCGGCCCTTGCCAGCGGGGATCAAGGTCTTATCCTTTCCTACGGTGAAGGAAGTCAAGCTGCCTTCTGAGGCATTTTGGAAGGTCTCATCTGGAATGTACAGCGCTTTGGTGGCACTATCGTATGTCACCCAGCTCGCTAGCTTGTTGCCTGAGCTTTGAGAGCTCTTCAGCGACAAGGAATCACCGCCAAATGTCAAGTGATTGATAGTTCCCAAATAATGTGTCGCCAATAGGTTTGCAGTCCTCGCAGCGCTCGCAGCGCTACCAAGCAGTGGCAGGAAGAGGAATTGTGTGGCTACCATGACGGAGGTATTTGGAGCAGTTAAGATATCAAGATGGACGATGGAATCTCCGGATGTATAGAGCTTTCTGCTTTCAATATCGTCCAACTAGCTTCGGTCCACACCTACCCGATCTGAGTCTTGCGAGCCCACCATCATTCACCTCAGCCTTGATCTTACCTAATCAGTACAGTTTCCATGTAACCTCGGGCTTTCTTATTCCATTCGTCGATAGCTGCTTGGACATCTGAGCAATTTAAATCGTAGACATCCCTGTCCCGTTCGGCAATGGCTGTTTCGAGCGGTAGGCGACCCCAGATTAATCGACCGAAACAGTAAAGTCAGCTTTTCCTTCGGTGAAATACGCGTACAATAGACACAAATGATCTCTTAGCATACTTGGCGTGGCCTGTTAAACAGGGACATAAGCCGCTGCGCCGCAGACCTGCGCCGGCATTTAAATGCAGTTGATTACTAGTTGTAGACATCTCTAGACGACATGCCTCTGTATGTCACTACAGCATGGGATTAGACATCATGAAATTAGGATGGATGAGCTGCGTTTGAGCGACGACAGCAGAGTCGATGTCCCTAACCATAAAACCTTGGCATCGACACGGCGTTATTAACAGCAACGAAAAAGCACAGTGCGGTTGCACATTGATTCGAACACTGCTCAATATTGCATTAAACGTGATCCTTTCATCATAGTATTATCAGTAGGCTGATAAGCCAATTAAGTCTCACCGGCACATCCTATGGCATCCAAGGGAACGAGATTGCAGCATTGCAAGTACAAATCGACCAAGCACAGTCCTTGACAGGACGGATATGATACCAGATTCCATCTAGTATCCCTCTTACAACAAATAGCGGTCTACTCTCATCGACTGCAGCATCTCGTAGTCTGGATATCAGACCACAACCTTTTCTCTCAAGGTACCGCCCTTCTTCCCTTTTAATTTGGTTAGCCACAGTCGTTCAAGTCTTTTAATCTAGAACTGCCGTTAAAGCCGGTCGCTTTGTGCTAAGTGTAACTCAGCACATACAAGATGTAGTTCTTTGCGCTGCCAAGAAGATTCCAGTCATGTCGAATATGGAAGTTTGAAAGGTTATGGCTCACATGGCTCGAACAGTGAAGACACAAGTCTGATTACAAATTTTCAATATTCAATGCTCTCACTGTCGATCAGAACGCGCTTGCAACTGTAGCAGCTGCTAAGGGCTTGAGAAACATCAGGAACGCGGTAGAAATATTGTTGTTATGGGGTTAAACAGACCGCAAACAAGGGCATGCAGCTAGTGTGAGAAACATCAAATTAAGGGAACCGTAACTACTTGGGGCATAGAGAATGTTGGAAATCAGTGAGACAAGACCCTCATCGATGAAACCGCATTACTCCTTAACAGTTATAAACCCCCTCTCTAACCCCCTCCAACCCCCAACTTCACCTAATCAATATGGCGGTTTCCTGACAGCATGCAAATATGTGCCCACACAACTCTCCCCTTTCCCCTTCCAAAACAACACATCCTCGCGCAAATCCCCTTCACACACTGTCCACCCTTCCCTCTCCCCATCCACAGTCAGTAAGTACCCCTGGCCCAGCGCCATGTTGCCCTTTGACTGCATTGATGCCAGGAATTGCAATTCAGATCCCGCGGTGACCATGGTACTGTTGTAGATGTACCTTGTGCTGCCAAATGGGCCCTGGGCGTTTGTGGAGAGCGTGCCGCTAGAGAGTGTGAAGTTGGGCAGGGAGTTGTAACCAGGTTGTTCAAGGCGGAGGACTAGGGCTGGTTGTTTAAAGGGGTCCTGGGAGTGTTAGGGGGTGTTTGCGGGTGGAATATGGATGGATTTCGTTCAAAGGGTTATTTGACTTTTCTTAAAGAGGAGGTAAGATCAAGTGCAAATGGATAACGTACGAAGAGAGAAGTTGCGGAAACGGCTTTGAGTTGAGAGGAATTCGCACTGGGATCGAGTTGGGTAGTTGTGACGAGGAAGAAGTTAGTCGGATCTGTGGGGAGTGCAGATGTAAGCGCGATGGTCACCGCAGGTAGGATGAGCGTGCTGTATCGCATTGTCAATCTCAAAGACAAGAATTGAGACAATTTCAATAGCAAGGCGCGGAAGTGTTATGGATGTAACTAGTGTACACGTATAATGAATATATTTCGGTGCAAGAGAGATAGCATAACACTATTATGCAGGTACATGTACTCTATCTTTATACCTCGTATTAGCCAACCATCCACGCATTCTTCCTCGCACACAGCAAACCAAGTGTACGACGTCCAGCCAGTTCCACAAATGCCATCTTCCGTACTGAGTTCTACCTGCCAACCAATCAATCCCCAACACTATATCTTTCTTTCAGCCACCCAATTGCGGCTCTAGCTGCCCTTGCAGATCTGTCGATCCCTGCGTGATAGATATATTACTGGGGGCTACATGTCATGTGTAGAACCGTTGGAGCAGGAGTGTTTTGTGAGGTTTCACGGATGGGGTCAATTTTCATGATTTGAGTGACCGATTACTTGGGGTCTGAGGGGAGTAGGTGGGCAGTTTGGGTGCTTTGGGATGGGGAGTTGGATTGTACTGGATTGGCGATGGGATGGTGCAATGGTGTAGTGTTGGTCTGGCAGGATTAGGTGACTACGTGCATTGTATTCGTGCTTTGGAGCGAACGAGATAATGGATGATGCGCTCGATACAGGCGAATTTGCAAGTTGGATTAGTCATGACAGATGGAGCGGATGGGTTGGAATGGAATAGTGGTCATTGCAAGTTGTGTACACTTCTAATATTTGAGTAGTGTTCGACAAGGGTACGTATCCCACTAGTAGAGAGAGCGTGTTTGCAAACAGCATAATACTAACGGCAATCATCAAGTACAGGGTATGCGCAACGCCCAAACGCCGTGATATGGTGCCTACGTAGTCACCCAGCTCTTTGCCTTTGTGCTACTGCGGTTTGACAGCCGTTAATTTCCTATTTTGTTACATGGTCAATTTCCATGTCTCTTTCGATGGATTTAACCGGACTGAATGGCACCATCACCTAGAATCCTGGCGACAAGAATATACATCAACACCACCCCAAACCCCAACTTGAACTTATTACGACTCAGCCAACTCTGCCCAGCGTCCCTTGCTATCTGTGCCGCGTCATGTACCACCGTCGCACTGGCACCTGTCCGTCTCCTCAGTCCCGCGACCTCGGGCGAACACGGTGGCTGTGTAGATGTAGGCGGTGCGCGTGGCATACCTGTCGCGAGGTCAATTTTCCTGGCTTGTAGCCACTTCATGTTCTCAGCATCCATCTCTGGCCACTCCTGCTTGAACTTTGCGCCGCCATCGCCAGCCTTGATACCACCGAAGCCTCGTGTGTTGGATGACTGCGCGGTGCTTTGCGGGGAACCGCCGCCGGTACTGTTCCACCATCGCGACAGTTGGGCCCAACATTTGCGCTCTGCTTCGCTTGCGCGGACGGACCCCGTGGTCATCTCTTCGCTCGTCATGAAGCTCAGCAGGCCGGTGAGGATGGTGCTGACTTCCCAGGCTGGGTTGAAGCTCTTTGGATGGAAGTCGGATATGCTAAGGCAGAGGCGGGCGCTGGGCTGGAAGCGACCAGAGGGTGTGTGCATGCGAATTGCGGGGGGAGCAAAGGGGTAGTCGGGAGGAAATGTGAGGGTGCCCCAGTATTGGCCGCCGTCGTAGGGTGTGTCTGGGGGGCCGGTGATGATGTAGTGCCATTCTAAGATGTTCTTCTCCGAGGGGTGTGCGATGATGTAAGGTGGCGGCGACTTCGTAATGGAGGCATATTCTTTAGTGAGGCGCTTGGTGGCTCCGGGGGTGGCCATGATGGCGAGCGAGTACGGTGGAAGCAAAGTGGTGACGTTATCAGCTGGGAGGTGTAGGTGTAGGTTCAGGTGGTGGAGGAGATGGGGAAGGTTGAAGATTGATAATGTTTCTTTGAAACAGTTTGCCTAGAGGACAAACAAAGATAGTGAGTGCGACAGAACAACGAGGGCGGAGGTGAATGAGAGTTACGGGTCAGGCTCAGGCTCACAGGCCATAGCGGATGGGTCGCTCCGCCGGCGCATCAGCCAGCCCGCCTTGTCAGGCACGTGATGGATGATGTTGCCGCAAAACGAGCCCAAGGTTTCTGTTCCGCGCCAAGCATCGACCGGGACGACATCAACAGCTTCAATGGCGTCGCCGAGTGAAGACGATGTACGTTTGAAATGAAAGGGAAATAATGCGTCAATTCCACTGCTGATTGGCATTGTAGGTCTTCGAAAGGCTGAAGAACAGGACGGATATCAATGAACAGAAGCGACGACAGGATGAGCTCAATGCGCGCCTGTATGCACAGCAGCAGCGGTCACAGGAGAGACTGGTGGAGGTGGTGAGAATAATATGCACCCAATTAGACATACAAGCACGGGACACTAATAATATATAACAGATCAGCGAAAACACCTCGCTGCCAGTAACCATCTCCTCGGTCCGCATCCTCCACGCCAACCGCACGAGACGAAGTTTCCTCGAGCGGGTAGTCGAGCCCATCCTGAGCGCAAACCGCGATGATCAATATACTCTGGAAGAGGCCTTGAAAGAGGTCAGCCTGGCAACAGACAAGCTGAACCGCTTCGGTGGGCGCCCCTCCCCCTTCCCTCCTCTTCCCCACCATACATCTAACACCCCACACAGGTATCTTCAAGTCGCCCATCTCTGTCTACCTCGACAGACCGGATCCCACAAACGTTACATCGTCTCCCACCGACCTAGATGTCTACATCTCTGCATACGAGCGCGGCAACTACACCATCAAGACGGGCACAGAAGCAGGCGCCTCGGAAGCCGACGCCTACGTCCACGCCGAACTACGCAATGTCTTCGGAGGCGCTGAGACAATCAACGCCCATGGCTCCCTCGGCACAAGAACCCGCTCCGCCTACTCGCTCGCCTTCGACAGTCCCATACTAAGCAACCCCGATCTCAAGGCCCAAGTCAACGGTTTCGCCAGTTCCACTCTCAAGAGCTGGGCAAGCCACGAAGAAGTCCTCAAGGGCGGCAACTCAAAACTTCTATGGCGATCAAAGACGGGCCATCAGCACGAACTCGGCTACTCAGGCATATGGCGACAAATCACCAGCTTGGCTGAAAACGCATCCCCTACCATCCGCGCCGATGCAGGCGATTCCTTCAAGTCCAGCATTACGCATACCTGGATCAACGACAAGCGCGACTATCCCCTCCTCCCAAACAAGGGCTACCTCATGAAGACCGTCTCTGAACTGGCAGGCTACGGGCCCTTGAGCGGGGACGTGGCCTTTTTCAAATCCGAAGCAGAATCCCAAGTCGCCCTCCCCTTTGGCAACACGGGCATCACCTTTACCGCTGGTCTGCGCGGCGGCCTGCTCTACCCACTTACCCTCCCCGGCAGTGCCGCACCAGCCGCCTCCCGCATCAACGACCGCTTCCAACTCGGCGGGCCCAACAGCGTCCGCGGATTCCGTCTTGCAGGCCTGGGACCCCACGACGGCCCCGACGCAGTGGGCGGCGACGTCTACGCCGCAGGTGGCGCCAGCCTTCTCTTTCCCATCCCTCGCGTCGGCAAGGAAACACCGCTCCGTCTCCAAGCATTTATCAACGGCGGCCGGCTCCTCGCACTCCAGGGCCAGGGCGCCAAGACCGATGCCTCGTCCTCGTCGTTTGCCAGCTCGGCAGACGTCTACTCGAGCTTGCAGAAGACATTTCATGATCTCAAGGCGGAGCTGCCTAGTGCGGCCGCAGGATTCGGTATCGTGTATGCCCACCCGATTGCGCGGTTTGAGATCAACTTTTCCTTGCCGTTGGTCATGAGGGCCAAGGAGGAAGGCAGGAAGGGCTTGAGCTTTGGGGTCGGCATTGAGTTTTTGTAGATGGTGTCTGTCTTACTCACGAGCATATGTCTTGTGTGTGTGTGTGTGTGTGTGAAGTGAGAAGTGGGGAGCTTGCGATGAGGGGTGTAGATATGTATTACTAGTAGACCTTATCCGACAAGCCTATCCTTCTCAATTATCCCTGCCCCATCGCCCATGTCAGTACAGTATTCCAAACCGGATTAACAAAAAATTAAAACAAAAAAAGTTTGCGTCATGAACTCCACCAAAGATTGTAGAGATTGTACATAAGGATCGAGAGTTACATTTGGTAAACAGATACCCATTTTCGTAACGGTGTGATATGCGACGCTAGATATATATCTCAAAGATACATAAATAAACAAAATAAAATAAAGATCAGTAAAAATTCAAAACAACAAAAAATTGGCGTTTGCGAGGCCGATTGTTCGATCGAGTAAAAAAAGACAGTTCCTACGCAAGAGCGAGGATAATGGCATTTTCGCCGAAGCGAGCGAAGGCCAATACATACGAGACCGCGACGTGCCAAGCTATGTTGTTGATCTGTAAATCCAACATCTTTGTGAACGACATGAACAATAATACAAGCGGATTCCAAAAATTAAATCCGCGGAAAAACAAAAACGAATGGACGAGATTTATTCGACATGCACAGCCAAACTCCATGTGGCTTGACTGTTATAGAGAACGTTGAGAAAAGTGGATATAGGTGTTGAGGCTTGGAAATTCAAAAAAATGGCAAGGAGACGTAAAAGTACGGTGGACGAAGCGATGAATTCGCGCCAGCTGGCTGGTGTTTCCTGTAGACAGGCTTCCATGGCATTCGAGTGTGGAATCACTGCATGCGCTTCCGCTTGCGAGGATCTTCGGGTTCGTCTTCGTCTGCTCGTTCAGCAGTTTCGGCGGGGTTGAGCAACGAGTGTACGTTCGAGGCCATACTGGAGCGGCGTGTAGGTGGTCCAGGTGTATCGATACCCCTGAATGGGAATCTTGCACCAGGGAGAGTCCAGCCACTGTCTGGCCCTAGTGACGAAGACGCAGACTCAACGTGTAAAGGGGGAGTCCCTTGCCGTGATGACTGTTGCCTAGGGCCACGAGGTAATTGGTATGACTCCAAGGCGTCACGGAGTTGCTGATCGCCACCTCCGATCGGTGTCCGATGTGGTGAGGATGGCCACTGAGTTGAACTGTGACCTGAAGTAAAGGGTGAGTGTGTTGGCCCACTAGGGGGCGGCTGTGGCGGCCACCCGTGGGTGCGAATATCTGCCGACGTGTGCCGCCTGTACAGATGATTGTAGGGTGGAGAGGAGCTGCTTCCGGGTGGATTCCCCGGATTTGGAGCTCCCGGCTGCTGGACAGGCGGTGGAGGTGGTGGGGGTGGCTGATGCTGAGCTGGGGTCCTGGCTGAAGAAGGGGAGTAATTACCCGCACCTATTGAGCCATATCGTCGTGGGGAAATAGCAATGTGAGGAGGGACAGGAGCCTTGTATGGCGCTTGGCGCGATATGCTGGCCAAGGATCCTCTTCTTGACTCTATTAGGTTGTCTTGAGGCAGTTGCCGAGGCGATAGTGGAGGACCATTGTTGCTATCTCCCTGCATGAAGTAGGGCTGACGTGCGGAGAGTGGCTCCTCGGGCGCCTCCAGGGCGCGCAGCATCTCCGTTTGGCGAGTGATGTCGCGCTGCATCATCGCAACTAGTCAGACGAGTAAGTGAGCTGATCAAACAAGATTTCAGCACACGGACACTTACCATCTCTGTGGATGGGATTATCCGGATCTGGCACCATGGCCATGATATAATTTGTGAGCTCCTGACTCCACTGAAGGGTGCATTAGCCATGTAGACTAGACCTTGACACATGAACCTACCTGGTGACATCGCATCATGCCCTCGGTCAGGACCAGGGCCTTTTGATTGAGGTAGGCGCATGTATCTTCTGACCGCTGCACTCGCGAGTGCATTTCATAGAGATTGTGCTCCAGGTTGCCAAGGCGCATCTCGATGGGATCTGGCGTGGGCTCGACCGGTTGTCCAGCTGGAGGACCAGTCGGCATTTTGGGTGTTGAGAAGGAATCGCGGTGGATGAGAGCATGTCGTGAGGCACGTCGCTTTATTTCCCGCAGGCCGACCAAGTCCCCGCGTTTGAAGTTACCATTGCCATGCTTGAATTCCCATAGAGGAGAGTCTGGGGAACCAGTGTGGAAGACGTCACTCACTGTCATTGCTGGGTCAGCGCCCGAGGAGCAGGGGTGGGGCATATGGGGTCAGTAGACGTAGGACGTACCTTTATGAAAGCCATACATGTTTAATTGCCGGACGAAGGAGGAAATGTTAGTGTGCTTGAAATAAGATCTAGTGTGCGGGTTAGTCATGGATTTCATTGGGATCAAGGCTTCGATTGCACGTACGCCAGTACCTTGGAGAACTCGCTCGACGGGGACATGACGAAGCTCTCGTTGCCCGTCGACCATGAGATGAGGTGCTGGATGTTGCGGTCTTCGAGCATGCTAGGGCGCTGTCAGCGACTGCGGCAGAGGCAATGGGACGCCAAACTCACTTGTAGAGCTTGTGAATAAAGGCCGTCTGGATGACCTTGGGCTGAGAAGCAGCAGCAGCCGCACCGACCGTCGGTGCAGCATTGCCATTGGGCGAGGCGTGGCCAGCTTCCCCGTTTACGGATTGGCTGTGCGACTGCGACTGCGACTGCGCCTGGGATTGCGATTGCGATTGCGATTGCGACTGCGGCTGCGATTGTGACTGCGGCTGCTGCGACTGTGTCTGTGCTGAGCTCGTGCCATTGAGTTCTGTGCCTGCGCCTGCGCTTGCGCCGTTGTGCGTGGGCGGGCCCATGGTCGAGGCGGGTGATGGGGTGATGTCCATGGGGTCTCGTGGTGGCGCCAGCGTCGAGCCAGAGGAAGGGAGGATGGGTATGGACTTGTGCAGGTTGGGGTTATGGGCGTCGGTCGCGAAGGGACTGGGACGGGCCTCGGCGACAGAAGCCATGATTGGGATGAGGTGAAGAGAGCTGGTGGTGGTGGGTGGGGACTGTGGGGAGCAGCAGCTGTGGAGGCGACAGCGGCGGCGGCGTCGGGGAGGAGCTGCGCTGCGCTGCTGCGCTTACTGTGGGTTATGCACTATACAGGACTGATTGTATGTATGCTACCTTGCTGCTGGTGTGGAGAGAGAGAAAAGGGAAAGGGTGGTGGGCGGCAGCAAGACAGTAGACGGGAGACCAGTCAGTTGGGCTGCCAAGCTTGAAAGTCAAGTGAGCGCAGAAGGCGTGGTAGTGGTAGTGGTAGTGGCCCTCGTCGTTCTTGGTGGTGCTTGTTGCTTGCTACTTGTTACTTGTTACCCGTTGCTGCTCTTCGTCGTCGTCGTCGTCGTCGTCGTTGTGGTTGTTGTGGTTGTTGTGGTTGTGATTGTTGTCGTTGTCGTTGTTGTCGTTGTTGTCGTCGGCGGAAAGGACAGTCAGCGGGCAGAGAGCCAGGTTGCAAGCCAAAAGTGCACCCTGGGCAAGGAGAGAAGGTCGAGACGAACGAGTGGGCTTGCAGGGTGTGCAGGGTGTGCGCGCTGCTTGTCGGCCTTCCGGTCGTCGGTGGTCGCAAAATGGGGGGAAGGGGGCGGAGGAGCATGCGATTATGGCTGGTCGGCTGACTGACTGATTGATTGACTGACTGACTGACTGATTTGACTGACTGACTGTGAAAGGCTGCGGGCACATTTAAACTTCCACCTGAGGACCAGTTGGTGAGTGGCATCTT